TTGGGTTTAGACTGTTTCACAGAGAGGATACTTCAATCTAATTGGGTGAAGAGCCTTACTGTTGCTTCATAGCTGCCACAGATACAAGTTGGGGATATTGCATCACTACAGGCACCAGCTGAGTGGAAATCCTCACTAACAAGCCTGCAAAAAGGTTCAACACAGTCATATACAAGGCAAACTGTCTAAGGTCCACTCCTTCACTGTTGAGAGCAAAACTCGGGCCAACGTAACTTATACTTTATACCAAATATTCCGATAGAGTGTGAATAATGAGATTCTAGGAACTTTGAATGGTTATAGTAAATTTTATATTTTATGCATAATGTGCTACAACAATTCATTTACTATTTACTTTTGTAGAAAGTCTGAGGTAATAGTAGATCCTACCTGTGAGGAGGGACACATTATTAAAACTTTTCTCTAGTTTGCTAAGAAGAACAGCGAGAAAGCAATCAGAGGAAATCGCACTGACATCTTGTGTACATTGGTCATATACCACCACGTCCTGCTCATCATCAAATGCAATCTGTAATGAAAATGGGGGAAACAGTTAAGAGAAAGCAATGCCCACAATAGCCAACACATCTTAAAATACAACACAAATATAACATAGACAACAAGGTGCAGGGCTGGATGAACACAGCAGGCCAAGCAGCATCATAGGAGCAGAGAGGCTGACGTTTCGGGCCTAGACCCTTCATCAGAAAAGCCATTCTCAATACCATGAGTGTAGATATTGTCACGGTTGGGGCCAAATTGGGAAGGCTTGAATGTGGATTGTAGTCCATTGGGGATGATCTGGTTCCGTAGGCAGGTGCTAAGGAAGGTGATGTGGCTGTAGTACCTGGTTTGCTTCAGGACGTGGTCGAGCAGTTTCAGGGCCGAAGAGATTACGAGAGAGTTGCAGTGGGAGAGAGATCCCTTGAGGTTTGTCCGGAGGGAGGAGGGTAACTTCTTCAGGCTAGGCATCCTTAGAAGAGGCTTTTCTGATGAAGGGTCTAGGCCCGAAACGTCAGCCTCTCTGCTCCTATGATGCTGCTTGGCCTGCTGTGTTCATCCAGCCCTGCACCTTGTTGTCTCGGATTCTCCAGCATCTGCAGTTCCTACTATCACAAATATAACATACTTTGATTTTCTTTTCACGTGTATAATTAGGACCAAATTTACAAATCCCAGTGGAGTTGCAAATAGGGTCATGAAATGTTAAGCTTAATTTTATTTTGCTGGAAAAGCAATTTCCTGTGGCTTGCCACACATTTTCAAGTGACATTCCTGTGGGTTGGGAAAGCCTTGGGTGCAAGCCTCACCTATCCATTGTAAGGACCGCACCATCTATTTTTCTTTATTTTTATTGTGGACTAAAATGGAAAAGAACGGTTTTAAAACCAAGGACTTTGAAAGGAATTGCTGGAAGTTTGAAAACAAGTTACTGGAACTCATTGTGAGTTGTGTTTACACAGTTGCTTCACAACCAATGGCAGAAGTGAGAGAAGACGGCATAGCACCAGGGTGGGTCTGCAAAGTGAAATTTGCTTTCCTATTTGATCGGTATGTTCAATTGTGGATTCAGACAGTCATCGGTCTTGGGCAAATGAATAGTTTGTGTGCATGAACAATACGGTGGAAACTGATTTTCCAGACTGCAAGGAGCAGGGTCTCTCTCTATAGCTCTTGACAGCAAGGTAATTAAAGCCTAGAGACTAGCATTACATCTAATTTTCTTAGCAAATGCATGAGCCTCTGAGGTCTGTGCACAGCAGTGACTTCTGGAAGTCAATGCCGCAATCAGTTTGCTGACACCAATCATTGTGCATGGAACATCAGTGTGAGCATATCTTAAAGGGAATATGGCTAAGGACAGCTATTTTCTCCTAGTATTTGCTATTTGTTTGGCAAACAAACAAAACAGAAACACTCCTTCTCAGAAAGTTCACGACTAATTGAGAAATTGTGCTAATGTGTAGGCAAAATTTTGAAAGATAAGTTTAAAATATATTGATATATTCAAATATCATGCTGCATTATTAATGTAGATGTGTATGTGATGGAATGGTTCATCATAGCGATCTGTCCTGCAAAGGTGAATCAGCCCTCACATTGACCAACATTGCACAGTTGTTCCATGCAAGAAGCAAGTTAAACTGGGGCATCAGTGATCTCCAAGGCGAGGAGTTATCTTGTACCACAAACACCAGGCAATGATCAACCAATCAGTTAGGAAACTGAAGTAACATTTTATGGCATGGATGTCTAGTGTACCATACAAATCTTAAAGTTTTCCTTTCAAATTCACGTAGTCAAACAAGAATGAAAGAGGAAAAAAAAAGGTTGTGTTCTCTGTTCAAAAGGAAAGCAAGTAACTATTTACTTCGCTATATGGCTACTGGTTTAATATGCAGGTGATAAGGGTCTCACTCGCCAGCAAGAGTCCTGCATTGCCAGTTTTGAAAGATGCCAATTTAATTACCAATTAGGCACTTAAGTAACCAGAGTGGGTCCTCAAGATCCAATGATGGGAGTGTCTCCTTGAACACAGCTGTAAATACAGTCCAATCTCAGAGTGTTGTGCCTAATTTTCCAGAATAACTGGCAAAGTAGTTATGAATATGAAGTATGAACACTTTTGATGGAGATTGTTGGTTGGCGAATAATGGAAGGTTTGAGACTGGAACAGATGGGAGAATTGACATTTGAAGATGCATTCACTGACCACCTCCACTTGACTGAAGTCACTGAATTTCTTGTGGCACTGCATCCATCTTCTCACCGGCAACACTGCTACCACTGTTTGTGATGGCTATCTGCTTGCACTGCTTTCCTAGTGTTTGGAGGACCACCTCATCCTCAATGGATAGAAGATACCCATCGTTCTGTCCACCTCCTGCATCAAGGCCTCCTGCTCTGCCTTAGAGATGTCTGGAGCATGCTCTGCCACGTTGCGTAATTCTTGTGTCTTTTTCATGTAAATTTTCAAATTACTTCCAGCACTTGCACCAATCAAAAGCCACCACCTCTTGAAAGAGTGCAGGCTGTTTTTAAGCAGTGTAGCTTGTACTTGTGCTAGTCCCAGTCCCACATGATCATGAAATCTGCTCAGGAGTGCAATCATGCACAGCACACATGTTATTGCAGCAAACAGGCAATGTTAAATGAGCAACAGCACAAATAACACTCATACACGCTTATCAAGCTATCCAATTTTCCTCCCTTAACTGCTAAATATTAAACAGCAACTCCATTATGTCGCTATCAAATCAGTTCCATCACTTTCAGTGCATCTACAATTGTTCCAGGCATCATCTAGCTGCAAGGATTGTAATTTAAACTGGCATGTACAAATAAATTCAATGTGAATGTTAGGAAGTGCTGATCTGATTTTTTGTAAGACTTCATGCTGTATTAACAGCAATGGAGGGTTTGTTGCAAAGGATACTCGAAGCGTCAACATCTAAAAGGAAAATATGACAAATCTGACCACACTCAAGTGGTTTTTGACAGAAAATGGGGTGGTGAGTTGTTTTGTATTTCTGTGACGTGATTTATTATGGCATAACACATATAATGTAAGCCCTGTGCTGATCTTTTCTATTCCAAGTCTCTACATTCACATTTATAATGGAAACTACCTACATAAACGCTAATTACATCCTTCCATTTAGAACAGTGTTGTAGAATCTTCTAGGTCCACCTGAACTGCAGAAAAACACACACATGCAGAACCTCTACTCATGATAATTAAGTCATTTTTGTGCCAAATATTGAATTATTGAAATTATATTACACAATATAATACATAAAAAGGAGAAATTAGTGCTCAGTGAATGATCAGATTTGGTGTATCAAGCAACTAAGTACAGATTGTACACGAAAATGATTATAAATGAGAATCAGGAAGCTTCACTCACATAGTCGGTAAGGAGAGATCATATTCAGAACGAGACACAGCCTGAGTGAGTATATAGTTTTGGGACTTGAGGCAGCATGGGAATTCAGTGCAGAGAGAAGAAGTGCTTTTTGATTCCTTTTTTGTTCCTACTTTCTAATATCTTCTTACAGGATAAATTGAAGCCGAGAATCAGGGGCCCAGCACAAAACAAAGTGACATCACAGGAAAACCTTAAGTTCATTAGTTTGTAATAGCTGTTAATTTGGCTATTATATTATATCTTTCAGATTGAAGGTAACCAGGAGGAATACTTACAGATTACAAACTAAAAAAATCAACAGTAATTTTTTATAAAAAAAAAATCAAACAATTTGAGAACTAAGTAAATACAATAGAGATGCAGGGCCAGGCGATGTGTTACATCTGCATGATGTGGTAGCTGGTGGATGCCACTGCGTTTCATAGTGACCACATCTGTAGCAAATGCTGGTTACTCAACAAACTCCGGCTCAGAGTTGACAAGTTGGAGTCTGAGCTTCAAACACTGATACATCAGACAGGGGGAAAGTGTTACCTGGATGCTGTGTTTCAGGCAGTAGTCACACCTCTTAGATTAACAATCATGAATCCAGTCAGTGATCAGGGACAGGAGGATATGACTACAACCAAGACAGATAGGCAGATCCAGGAGGTAATACTGAAGGAGCCACAGCCCTTGAGCTCATCTAACAGGTTCAAGATTCTTGCTCCCTGTGTGGATGAGAGCAGGGGCTTTTGGGAGGATGAGCAAACTCACCATAGCACCATGGTATAGGAAGACCTTCAACAGCAGCGAGTAAAGAGAAATGCAATTTTAATCAATGATAGTATAGTCAGAGGAATAGACACTGTTCTCTGTGACCATGAATGAGAGTCCCGAAGACTGTGTTGCCTGCCTGGGGCTGGGTTCAGGGATCTCTCATCTGGGCTCCGGAGGAACTCGGAACGGGAGGCATAGATCCAGTTATCACAGTCCGCATAGGTACCAAATGACATAGAAGGAAAGAGAAAAAGAGGTTCTGTTGAGGGAAAATGAGCAGCTTGGGGCTAAATTAAAAAAGCAGAACCAAAAAAGTAATAAATCTCCAGATTACTACCTGAGCCATGGGCTAACTGGCACAAGGTCAGCAAAACTGAATAGGTAAATGCATAGCTCAAAGACGGGCTTGGGAGAAACGGGTTTAAATTCATGGAACATTGGCACCAGGACTGGGGAAGGAAGGAGCTGTTCCAATGGGATAGGCTCAACCTGAATCATGCGGAGATCAGATACCTGGTAAATCGCATTGCGAAGGATGTGGATAGGGCTTAAACTAAATAGAGGAAGGATGGTTTCAGTTGCATGGAAAATTGTAACATTGAAGATAAAGAGGAAGGCAAGATTTAAGATTTATGATAGAGCTGATACTTACCAGAAAATAAAAGGAAGGGGCAGACGTGTGAATGTCATATTGCAAAGAGCCATAAGAGTCTAAAGGAAAGTCAATAATAGTACGAATTTAAAGGCTTTGTATCTCAATCTACAAAACATTCACAGTAAAATAGACAAACTGATGGCATTATTTAAGGTAAATTAAGATTAAAATGGGGGGGGGTGCGTG